TATATATATATATATATATATGCTAAATTTCTAAAGAATAAAAAGTTATTTGAGATATAAAATCTCATTTATGCTTACTTTTTTATTTTAAAAGGAACTAATTAATCCATTATATTTCAGTCTGGTTTACTAAACAAATATTGAATTCTTACCAAAATTAATTATTCATTTATCTCAATGATAAATTTGCTGATCACCACTAGACAAAAATCAAAGTACATATATTTCTAAGCATGTACCAATCTGTATGTGTTTACATCTGATCTTTTAACAAAATTTAACATACTATTTATCTTAGTAGTATAACAGAAGTGATCTGTTTATTTTAAACCTATCATCTCTCTTCTTCAAATAATTAATGATAGGTAGTTAGATAGATAGATATACAGACAGATAAACAGACACACAGACAGATACAGGGGGAGACAGAGAAAGAAAACGCAAATACCAAACCTTCTTTACACTGGATAATGCAGAAAAATGGCAAATTGGTGATATTTAAAGCTACTGCATTCCCAGTTTTTTAAATTGTAAACTAATTCAATAACCATTTTGATTGCTTTAATTTATATATATATTCTATAATTAACAAAGTTTCACTGTTTCCTAATGGAATAATCGATATCATTTCAGCTCACGCCTGCAGACAGCCAGAAACCCCAGCCCATGCAGATGTGAGAGCAATAGATCTTCCTACTTTTGGTTATACTCTAGTGTATACCTGCCATCCAGGATTTTTCCTTGCGGGTGGATCTGAACACAGGACGTGTAAAGCAGATATGAAATGGACAGGGAAATCACCTGTTTGTAAAAGTAAGTCACTGATCAAGGAATGAGAATGCTATCCTAACAGCCTTTCCTAACTGCCCACCAGACTAGTTTCCAGGTTTAATAAGTAAATAGTATCATGGAAGGGATGTTAATCACTCTGCCTACATCCATACTTCATGTGTGTGGGCCTGTGTTTGTGTGTACAGCAAATGTTTGTATCAACAGTGGCAGGGGCTATGCAGCTGCACAGATTTTTATTAACTAGTTACATTTTAAGCAAAAGAAAAAAAAACTATTTGAGATAAATCACTTGAGTTAAAGGGAAAGTAATATACAATATATTTTCTGGAAAATGTATTTCTAAAAATGAAAATGAATTTATATAACCAAGTATCTCAGAATATCTTTTCAACTCCCTTTAAGTGTTGCTATTTTTAATATCACTCAAGCTGTTCAGTGATGGAATTTGAGTTTATGTGTTCTTGATATTGGTTCTACAGTCCTACTTTTAAAGATTATAAAAGCAATTAGCATGGAAATGATGCATTAATTACTCACAAATGTGTGTGTTTGCAAATGAGATTTACAGCTCTGAATAAGATATGATGACAGCTAACCTTTCAGGTTTTCTCCCAAACATAGGTTTCTGTTTACATTGAGTATCGAACAGCATTAACAAAAATTATTAAGTATGATCAAATGAATGACTTCAAATTTAGTTTCCCAGAACATATTTATAGTACTGAGATTAGGAAGTTTTAAGAGACAAGTTTCCCTTCCCCTTCTTTTTCAGAAATATATGAATATAAATTTTAAAAATAATAATTTGTACTTTGATATAAAACTATAAAATCCAAGTGATTATGAGCTAATTCTAACTTGATAGGCCAAATTAAACACTCTGCAAGGGAAATTAATTAATATTTTTTAATATTAATTTTATATTTATTGATTTGGGTGGGGGATTGGAAAATTAAGAGAGATTATACAATTTAGTTATTTTGCATATTGCCTTTCAGTTTATAGTCAGCATATGACTAATAGGATGGAAGAAAATTGATATAAGCCACCCTCTTTTACAAGGCTCTCTGTTGTAGCACTCTAAATGGGAATACTTCGGGTTAGATCTGCATTGATTTTTTACCACTAAACTCAGTTTTCCCACAAACACAGAGGATATTCTGCTATGAATAAATGGGTTTAAAATGTATATGTATAAGATATTTATTATTTTTGTGCAGTCAGAAAATCTGGAGAAGGGCAGATTGCTTCAATTTAACATTTTTTCAACATTCAAAAATAAATGCTTTTGAAAATGATAATTTGTCTTTTTACTTGTAGGTAAAGGAGTGAGAGAAGTTAATGAAACAGTTACTAAAACTCCAGGTTTGTATACCAGAATAGTTATAGATTTAAATCAAATAAAGTGATGTGTTTTCTACTATACTTTGTGCAGTGAAGCATTTTTTTTAAATATTTTTAATATCTAATTTCATTATTCCCTGAAAAAGTTAATATTTTAATTATTTAAAACACCAAGACAACTCAGATGCCTATTTCTTTTAGAACAGTGGTTTATTAATAAAATAACAATATTCACAAAAACAATCTTTGGTGTTCTAAGACACTTTCATTGAAAGGTGCCTTAGACATTTTATAAACAGAAATAGACATAAAATATTCATAATACAATGTGACACAATGGAGAGCCTTATAAAGAGGGTTGTAATTCCTTCCTCCAAATGAGGGAGCTAAAGTAAATAAAACAAGTTCAATAATAGATTCTAACAGCATAAACTGTTAAACTGAGCCCCATGTTTTATTAAGTTTCTCAACAATTCAGGTATTTCTGGTCTCCTAAAATGTTAATAATAGGTTTTTTTGTTTATTTATTTAATTATTGTTTTAGTATATATGATTCCTCGCTAAATGCATCAGATAGCAAATCAGAAATGTGTAGGCCTATTTCCTAAGGAAGATTTTCATTGCTCCAAGTCATATGGAATAGTTTATCTATGTTATACATTTAGATATTACTTAAATAAGGAAATATGTCTCAAAATTATATTAATTTGAATGACTTTTAAAACTGTTAGTAGAAATCCTTTGTAAATATTTATGGTAATTTTACTAGTATTTTCCTTGCATATATGTTAACACTCATTTCTTGGATATAACCTCTAACTCTGAAAAACTCTTTTCTACAATCAAGTATGGAAAAAGTCTGTATAATGCTGTTAAGTCAGAAGGCTGTATTACACACTTTATTCTTAGACAATACAAAATGTCTCAACATGTTTAGAGGCCTTTTTTTCTGCGTATGCCATGAAGTATATTAACTAATATTTTCTTAAATTTTTCTGGACTATTTATAAAAATATACTACTTACAGATCAAAATTCAGAAATCAATACTCTCTTTCTAGACAACACTTTCTCCAATGGAAGGAAGCAAAATCTTTGTTATTATGTGCTTGTTTTCTTTTTATTTACTAATTTTTCATTCAAGGTATTGAAATATCTGTATACTATGGGAGCTCTGGTAGCGCAGTGCCTAAGGCATCTAACTGCTAACCCGAAGGCTGGTGGTTCAAACCCACCAGCCACTCCTCGGAAGGAAGGTTGGGCAATCTATTACTGTAGTGATACCACCTCGGAAACCCAAGGAGGCGTCACTATGAGTCGCGTCCGACTTGTGGGCAAATAACAACATCAACAACAATATTTGAAGGTGCAAATATTATTACCAATATCTTTTTTCTCATTCTTTCTGAGGAGTAGTGCTAATTCAACATGCTTCTTTATTAAGGTGGTCTACCCTAACATACCTATACAGTTTAGTTGTTGCATTTTTCTCCACATTTCCAGCAGCAAGTCAAATGACAGGGAACACTCTTGAGTATACCTTATCCTACCCATCCAATCATTTTTCATTCCTGTAACAAAACCAACAATTTTATATTACAGGCTTAAAAATCTATTAATATCTTCAGCTGAGTACATAGATTTCAATCTTGGTATTATTTTAAAGGCTATTAATTTTGTTGTTGTTGTTGTTATGTCCCGTCCAGTCGGCCCAACTAATAGCATCCCTTCCCTGGGTTTCTGAGGTGGTAGGTTTCACTATGGAAGTAGATTGCCCAACCTTCCTTCCCAGGAGTGGCTGGTGGGTTTGAACTGCCAGCCTTCTGGTTAGCACTTAAGTGCCTTAGGCACTATTAATTTTAGTAAAGGAAAATAAAGACTTTTCAGGGTTACCAATCGAAACTGAGGGCTCTGTAATGAGGCTGATCAATAGGTAGAAGTGTTCATTTATAAACAAATATACTAGGTGCATGTGTTATATCTCAGTGTTTAACTTATTATTATTATTTGGAAGTAGTGTCTACTCAAAGCCATAAGAAACTCACTCTGTTCATCTTTACTCTTTCTGTAGCAACCCTAACTGCTGTAGGTTTAGCTTGTCTAAAAGACAGAACTGTGAGTCATTGGGCTGAAAAGAGAAACATGAATACAAGTGTAAACTATTTTTGTCCTCATTTTTAGTAACTATAAGTGAATTTGTGGAAAAATACGTATAGGGAGCAATCACCTTTATTTCTACCTGGCATCTCAAACAATATGCTCAGACCAATTCTACTTGTACTGGTTCTTTTCTAATTCAATGTATTAGGCACATTATGAGTCATAAATCAAAAATAGCTTAGTGGAGTAATTAAATTTATATTTATATGTGTTAATAGTATTCATTGTTACAGTAATATCATAAAAATGGCAGTATGTTATATATATACATTTATCAGCAGAAATGTGAAAAAAAAGGTTTAATTTTTTTTCATAAGCAGTGAGTTCAAGAAAGAACATCTAAATAATCTTTGCAAAGGTACCCATATCAGATGAATTTTATGTTTAAATAAAAACATTATAACTTTTGTTTATGAATTTGAAATCCATATAAAAGGGACCATTGAGATCACTGATCTACCATTCTTACCAAAACTGGAGTATTTTTTACATGGTAATTAAAATACAGGGTAAAAGAACATGAGAGAAGGAAAGATTGGCTATATGTACTTATAAAACTTATTTCTTATTAAGCACAATAAAAAGCTAACCTAACATTAATATCATCAATTCAACATATCCATTAGCCCTCACAGGTCTTTTAAAATAGGTATGCTATGGCATCTAACATATTCTTACAACAAAGTAACAAATGTGTATTTCAGCCTGCAATCTTTTTCCTAGGTATTTCATTTGATATTTACAGATTCTAAGAAGGGGCAACATACTAGGTAGTCCTTGTTTTCATCATTGTCATTATTTGTGATCTCTTACTGAATGCTATCATGCCTTCTATGTTTAAAAAGATCTTGAAAAAAAAATGTGCTAATGTTCTTTTTTTTTCCCCCTTTACAGTTCCTTCAGATGTATTTTTCATCAATTCAGTATGGAAAGGATATTATGAATATTTAGGGAAAAGACAACCTGCAACTTTAACTGTTGACTGGTTCAATGCAACAAGTAGTAAAGTCAATGCGACCTTCATTGAAGCCTCTCAAGTGGAGTTAAAATTGACAGGTAGGCCCACAAGAGTTTCACTAAAGGCATATTGTAAGCATGAGTAGAACCCAGAGTCCTATCACAGAAAGGGGATCTAAAATTTGTTTAATACTGGTGGCACAGTGGATAATGCATTAAGCTGATAACCAAAATGTTAGCAGTTCAAACCTAGTAGCTGCTCCATGGCAGAAAGATGAAGCAATCTACTTCCATTAATATTTACAGCCTTGGAACCCCAATGGAGATAACTATGAGTTGGAATTGAATCTATGGCAGTGGGTAGATTGGTTAGATACCTATATTGCTTTGTCTTTGCATATATAATATTTCATTGGATCCTTTCAATGACTATGGTAGGTATTATTTTCTCAATTTGAAGATTAAGAAACCAGTGCAGAAAGGAAATTAAGACAATGCTCATTATGGACATAGAATATTGAGTCATGCGCCTGAGATATATATCTACATATACATATATTCATAATTCATTCTTCTGATATACTTCCTTCTTAACTGAGGTGCTACCCATGAGTTTATTTTTATATTTTTGTTATTCCACAATTAATAAAAATAACAAGTATGATTAACGATATATATGCATGCCCAAAACTATTTTAACACTTTGCAAACGTATTTTTCATTCTAATATCAATTTTATGATGTACGCATTTATATTATCACATTTTTCACTAATCAAAAATAAATGAAAAGGCAAAAACCCATTACCATCAAGTTGATTCTGACTCATGGTCCTTCAGTGGTGCAGTGTATGCCCAGCTGCTAACCAAAAGGTTGGTGGTTTAAACTCTCCTAGTTGTTGTTGTTGTTGTTGTTGTTATGTGCCATCGAGTCAGCCCTGACTCATAGCGACCCCTCCTTGGGTTGCCAAGGCAGTATCACTACGGAAGTAGATTGCCCAGTCTTCCTTCCGAGGAGTGGCTGGTGGGTTTGAACCGCCAGCTTTCTGGTTAGCAGTCAAGTGCCTTAGGCACTATGCTACCAGAGCTCCTAGAAGCTCTGAGAAGAAAGGCCTGGCAATCTGCTTTCCTAAAGATTGCAGTCAAGAAAACCCTAGGGAGTAGTTCTACTCTGCCACACGTGGAGTCACCATGATTGAAAAAATATGTTGTTGTTGCTAGGTGCTGTGGAGTCGGTTTCACTCGTAGAGACCCTATATACAATCAAATGAAACACTGTGTGGTCATGCGCCAACCTCACAATAATTGTCCTGCTTGTGCCAATTTTTGCTTCCACTGTGTCAATCCATCTTTTTGAAGGTCCTTTTAACCAATCCTCTACTTTACCAAGTGTGGTATATTTCTCCAGGATCTAATCCCTCCTGATAACATGACCAAAGTACAAGAGACAACTTCTGGCCTTCCTCACTTCTAAGGAGCATTACAGCTGTACTCCCTCCAAGACAGATTACTGCTTTGTTTCTGGCATTCCATAGTATATTCAATATTTTTCTCAACACTATCATTCAAATGTATCAATTCTTCCACAGTTTTCCTTGTTCATTGCCCAACTTTCACATGCATGTGAAGCTATTAAAAAGATAATAGCTTGGGTCAGGCACAGCTTAGTTTTCAAAATGAAAGTTTTGCTTTTTAACATTTTGAAGAGTACTTTTACAGCAGATTTGCCCATTGCAATACATTTTCTGATTTCTTGACCACTACTTCCATGGGCATTGATGGTAGATTCAAGTAAAATGAAATCCTTTACAACTTCAATCTTTTCTCCATTCATCATGATGTTGACTAATGGTCCAGTTGTAAGTATATTCTTTTCTTTTTCCTCTTTCCTTTTTTTTTGTGGTTGAGATATAATCTATACTTAAGGCTTGAGTTTTTGATCTTCATCAGTAAGTGTCTCAAGTCTTCTTCACTTTCAGCGAGCAAGGTTGTATCATCTGCATATCACAAGTTATTAATGAATCTTCTTCCAATCCTGATGCCACATTCTTCTTCATATAGTGCACATTCTCAGATTATTTGGTCAGCATAGAAATGAATAAGTATGGCTAAAGGACAAAACCAAGACACACACCTTTTCTGATTTTAATCCATGCAGTATTATCTTGTTGCATTTGATTGACTGCCTCTTGGTCTATATATAGGTTTCTCATGAGCTTAATTGTTATGGAATCCCATTTTTCACAAGGTTATCCGTAATTTGTTATGCTCCACACAATCAAATGACTTTGCATAGTCAATAAAACACAGGTAAACATCTTTCTGGTATTCTTTGCTTTCAGCCAAGATGTATATTACATCAGCAACAATATTACTTGCTCCACATCCTCCGCTTCTGCATGCAGCTTAATTTCCTCGCATTTCCCTGTTGGTGTGCTGCTGCAACCATTTTTGAATTATTTTCAGCAAAAGTTTTACTTATGTGTGGTACTAATGATATTGCATGATAATTTCTGCATGTTGTTGGATCACCTTTCTTTGGAATGGACACAGATATGAATTTCTTCCTGTCAGTTGGCCAAGTAGCTGTCTTACAAATTTCTTCACATAAACAAATGAGTGCCTCCAAGGCTGTAAACATTGTTGAAAAATTTCAATGAGAATTTTGTCAATTCTTGGAATATTGTTTTTCACCAGGTCCATCAGTGCAGCTTGGAGTTCTTCTTTCAGTACCATTGGTTCTCAATCATATGCTACCTCCTGAAATGTTTGAATGTCAGTCAGTTCTTTTTGGTGTGGTGACTCTGCATTCCTTCCATCTTCTTCTGATACTTCTTACATCATTCAATATTTTACCCACAGAATCTTTCAGTATTGCAATTTGAGGCTTGAGTTTTTTCTTCAGTTCTTTCATTTTGAGAAATGGCAAGCATGCTTTTCCCTTCTGACTTTCTAACCCCAGGTCTTTGCACATTTCATTATTATACTTTATTTGTCTTCACAAGCTTCCCTCTGAAATCTTCTGTTCAGCTCTCTTTCTTCATGATTTTTTTCATTTGCTTTACCTACTTTCCTTCTTCAAGTGCTGAAGAGCAAAGATGTCTCCTTGAGGACTAAGGTGCACCAGACACAAGCCATGGTATTTTAAATCACCTCATATGCATGTGAAAGCTGGGCAATGAACAAAGAAGAACAAAGAAGAGTTGATGCTTTTGAGTTGTGGTGCTTTTGAAGAATGCTGAAAGTACTATGAAATGCTAAAAGAACTAATAAATCTGTCCGGCAGAAGTGCAGGTGGAATGCTCCTTGTAAGCAAGAGTGACTTCATTTCCACTACTTTGGTCATGTTGTCAGAAGGGACCATTCCCTGGAGAAGGATATCATGCTTGGTAAAGTGGAAGGTCAATGAAAGAGGGGAAGGCCCCTACAAGATGGATTGACACAGTGGCTACGACAATGGAATCAGGTACAGCAAGGGTCGTGGAGCTGGCACAGGACTGGGTAGTGTTCCATTCTGCTGTCCATAGGGTCACTATGAGTTGGAGATGACTCATTGGTACTTAACAACAACAACAACTCTCCTTTCAAGAAAAAGTGTCATAGTTCCTTCTGATACCCATTTTGTTCTTTTCTTTCTTTTTTTGTATTTTTAAGAGAAGAACAAAATGGATGTCAGACAAGACTCTAAAATTTGCTCTAAACTATCACCAGATGGAATATATAGGAGTCCATAGACAACATCTGTGGAAGAAGGCAGTGGAGAAGCTCCATAACATCAGTCAGAACAAGGCCAGGGACTGTGGATCAAAGCAGCAATTCTCATTTCCAAACTTAAGTTGAAGTTATTGAAAATTAAAACAATTGCATGAGAGCCAAAATTTAACTTTGAGTATATCCTACATGAATTTAGAGACCATCTGAAAAATAGATTTGATGTACTGAACACCAAAGACCAAAGACCAGTTGAGTTGTGGGATCAAGAACATCATACATGAAGCAAGCAAAGGTTGATTAAAAAGGAGATACAGAAAATCAAAATGGATGCCTGAAGAGACCCTGAAATTTGTTCTTAAAAGGAGAGAGTTGTTAAAGGAAATGGAAGAAATGATAAAGTAAAAGATCTGATCAGAAGATTTCAAAGGGCAGCTCAAGAGGACAAAGTAAATTATGCTAATGAAATGTGCAAAGACCTGGAGATGGAAAATCAAAGGTGAAGAAGTCACTTGTGATTTCTCAACCTTAAAGAACTTAAAAAAACAAAATCAGCATAAGTTTCAATATTAAAGGTTTCTATGGGCAAAATACTGAACCATGCAGAAAGAATATGGAAGAAATACAGAGTCACTGTACCAAAAAGAACTGATTGACATTCAACTATTTCAGGAGGTAGCATATGATCAAGAACCAATGGTACTGAAGGAACAAGTCCAAGCTGCATTGAAGGAATTGGGAAAAAAAAAAAAAAATAGGAGATGTTTCAGCAAACGGATGCAGCCCTAGAGTTGCTTACTTGTTTATGCCAAGAAATTTGGAAGACAACTAACTGGCCAATCACCTGGAAGAGATCCATATTTGTGCCCATTCTAAAGAAAGGTAATCCAACAGAATGTGGAAATTATCAAATAATATCATTAGTACCATGTGCATGTAAAATTTTACTGAAGATCATCCAAAAACGGTTAAGCAATATATTGTTAAGGATCTGCCAGAAATTCATACTGGATTCAGAAGAGGGTATGGAAGAAGGGATATCATTTCTGATGCCTGATGGATCTTGGCTGAAAGCAAAGAATACCAGAAAGACTTGTGTTTAATTCACTATGCAAAGATGTTCGACTATGTGGATCATAACAAATTATGAATAACATTGCAAAGAATGGGAATTCCAGAACACTTAATTGTGCTCATGTGGTACTCATACATAGACCAAGAGGCAGTTATTCAAACAGAACAGGGGAATACTGCATGGTTTAAAAACAGGGAAGGTGTGTGTCAGGGTTGCGTCCTTTCACCATAGTTATTCAATCTGTATGCTGAGGAAATAATCAGAGCAGGTGGATTATATGAATATAATCATGGAATCAGGATAGGAGGCAGACTCATTGACAACATGTGATATACAGATGACACAATCTTCCTTGCTGAAAATTGAAACACTTACTGATGAAGATCAAAGATTCCAGCCTTCGGCATGGATTACACTTCAACACAAAGAAAACAAAAATCCTCACCAATAAGCAACATCTTGAATAATGGAGAAAAATTAAAGTTGTCAAAGATTTAATTTTACCTGTATGTACAAGCAACTTCCATGGAAGCAGCAGGCAAAAAATCAAATGATGTATCGCATTGAGCAAATCTGCTGCAAAAGACGTCTTTGAAGTGTTTAAGAGCAGAGATGTCAGTTTGAGGACTAAGGTGAGTTTGACCCAAGCCATAGTATTTCCAGGAACTTCATATGCATATAAGAACTGGACAGGGAGTAAAGAGAGCTCAGAAGAACTGATACTTTTGAATAGTGGTCTTGGCAAAGAATATTGAAAGTGCCAGGGACTCCTGGAAGAAGAAACATATCTGTCTTGGAGGAAGTACAGCCAGAAAGTTTTTTAGAAGTAAGAATAGCCAGACTTTATCTCTAGTATTTTGGTCATGTTGTTAGAAGGGACCAGTTCTTGGAGAAGGATGTCAAGCTGGATAATCTGGACAGTCAGTGAGAAAGGGGAAGACCCTCAATGAGATACACTGACACAGTGGCTGCAACTCTGGGCTCAAGCATGGCAATAATTGTGAGGATGGCACAGGACATGGCAGTATGAGTTGTACTGTACATTGTGTCCCTATGATTTGGGACCTACTCAATGACAACTAGCAACAACATACTCAATGTGATATGTTGGCTCTCCTGGACTTGTTTTAATTTTCTTCAACTTCCACCTAAACTTGCAAAGGTGAAAGTAATTGTTTGTTCCATAGTCAGCCCCTGGCCTTGTTCTGCTGATGATATTGCGCTTCTCAATCATCTCTTTCCACATATGTAGTTGATTTTATTCCTGTGTAGTCTATACGGATAGATCTACATGTATAGTCACCATTTATGTTGTAGAAAAAGTAATTTGCAATGAATAAGTAATCAGTCTTGCAAAATTATCTCTTGCAATTTCAGGTGTCATTTCTATCACCACAGCCATATTTTCCAACTACTGAAGTTTCTTCTTTGTTTCCAACTTTCACATTTCAATCACCAGTAATTATCAATGCATCTTGAGTGCATACTTGATCAATTTCAAACTACAGAAGTTTGTAAAAACTTCATTTCTTCATCTTTGGCTTTAGTGGTTGGTATGTAAATTTGAGTAATAATAGTATTAACTGGGGTTTGCAGGCACATGGATATTATCCTGTTATTGACAGAATTGTATTTCAGGATCAGTCTTGAAAAGTTCTTTTTGAAAATGAATGTGATACCATCCTTCTTTATTTTATCATTCCCAGCATAGTAGACCATATGATTGTCTGATTAAAAATGGCCAATACCAGTCCATGTCAAATCATTAATGCCTCAGTATCTGTCTTTATTTGTTCTCTTTCATTTTTGACAACTTCCGATTTTCCTATGTTGATGCTTCATTCATTCCATGTTCTGATTATTAACAGATATTCACAGATGTTTATTTTCATTTTGAGTTGTGCTAAAAATACAGGAGGCTCAAAACTAAGTAGTTTTTTAAAGTGAAATGGTAGATAATAAGCAGAGGTAGGATTTGAACTCAGCAGTCAGAATCCTCAGCCCACTCTTTTAATCAATAAAATACTGTGTCTACTTCATGATTTTATTTTTCCCTAGACTAATTTCTAAAGCCTTCAGATTCTCCTTGAGTTATCCACAAGGTGCAAGCCTGGTTCTGAATGAAAAGGACCCCCAAATTATGCACACTGTTACTAATCAATAGACAGCTAAACGATTAATCTTTAGGAAGTTTGAAAGGAGGCCAAGTCTCTCCCATCCATCACATCCTCCTTTCCTATTCTTTGGACATAAAACATCTAAGAATAATTCATGGAGCCTTATACAGCAAAGTCATTCATATTCATATATATTTGAGAGGTATATTTTTATGAAGTCATGGTCTAATGGCCCTCACATTGCCTTGCACCTGTGAATGTATAAGTGATTTAGACCAGGTTCTTAAATATGATTATGAATCAGAATTACTTGAGGAACTTCTAAACTTTTAAATTTCTGAGTCTCACCCAAATGGATTAGATAATATTTCTCTTCATGGAACCAGGAAATTTGACTCCTCCCCCCACCCCCAAAAGAATGCCCTTTTAGGTGAATCTTTGTGTCAGTGTTACAAAATATTTAGTTTAGATTAAGGAAACTGTTTGGATCCTGAGTTGTTTGAATTCCAATTGATATATAGTTATCCAGGCTGTGTGGATTCTGATTAGGAAGGAGAGGAAAGGAGGAAAGAAAACTAACATTTAGGGAGTGCCAACTAAAAGTCTGATAATATTTTGGATGCTGTTACTTAATCCTCACAAAAAGTGCCTAAAGACAGACTTTATCTGTACTTATAGTTGATATAACGGGTTCAGAGATTTAGAAGTTAAGTCATGTGTTGCTATTGGAAATCCGTTCCAGCCTAAACTAAAGCATTTATGAACTCAATCTATGTCAGTTTACTTGCAGCAATGCGTTACTTCCATCCTGTGTGCTTTGACACTGGAGAATATTCCTGGGATGTTAGAGATTTGCTTCTCTAATCTGAGTTAGGGGGAATCATGTTTGCACTCATCGGCTAACCTAAAGTTTAGCAATTTGGACCCACCCAGCAGTACCATGAAAGAAAAAGACTGTAATCTTCTTCCATTAAAATTACAGCCACGAAAAGCCTAAGAAACAGTCTGTTCTGTAACAAGAGTTCACCATGTGTCAGCATCAATTCAATGGCAACTAACAAGATTAACTCTGAATCTGCCCATATGTATTTTCTACAAATGATATATTTTGGGTTCATTTTCCATTTATTTGTTGTCAATCAATCTATCTTTCTATCTATCTACATTATCTATCTATCTATCTATCTATCTATCTATCTATCTATCTGTAGGAGTTCTGGCGGTGCTCTGGTTAAAGCATTGGGCTGCTAACCAAAAGGTCAGCAGTTTGAACCCACTTTCCACTTCATGGGAGAAAAGTGAGGCGGACTGCTTCCAAAAAGATTTACAGCCTTGGAAACCCTGTAGACCAATTCTACTCTGTCTATAGGTGGCTATGAGTTGTAATCAACTTGATGGCAGTGGGGTTTATTTTATTTTATTTATTTATTGTTTGGTTGAGTAGGATTTTGTAGCAGCAAACACAATCTCCATTTATAACAAACTGTAACATCTCTGTGCAACACTATTAAGCAACCATTCTATATTGAAAATAGCTGAGAGGCGTGACTTTAGGCACAAAATCTTATGAGTTACACAAGTATGCCTTTCACATTTTGTTCTCTATGCTATTCATTTCATATTAATGGGCACATCAATTCACTGTGAGAAGTAGCTAAATTTTGGATTATGGTATGATGTCTTTTTTTTACATACTCCTTTCTCAGAAGTGAATAAAATATGAATAAAAATGCTAATTTTTTATTAATAGACTCAAATAAATATTACTTTTAGTATCTCTGTGGGATAAAAATGTTGCATTTTGTGAATGGATTTTACCTAGTCAAGATAGAAAAATATTTCCATGAAAATCAGTTACAGAGAAAAAAAAGTACTAAAGCTAAATTTAAAAAGAAGTGCTATTGTTATACATTTAATTGCCATCTCTGTACCATATTCCGAATCAAGTGGATTAAATGTTGAGTTATTAACTCTTGTGATTTCCTACAGTGTAAGAATCACTGACTTACTTTTATACAGGAGTTTACAAGAAGGAGGAAGCCCACTTACTTCTGAAAGTTTTTCAAATTAAAGTTCCAGTGGATATTTTTGTAAGCAAGTTTGAAAATGACAACTGGGGATTAGATGGTTATGTAAGTATTTGTATGGGATTTGTAACAAAGCGTGTTTTTGAGTCATTACTTTTATGGAGACAGCCAACTGGAGATTTTTAAGAGGAGTAGTGATATATATGCCCCTACAAAAGTAAGCAATCCTGCTTAATTTTTACCCCTCTAATTTATATTAGAAGAAACCAAGTCTCTGAAACGAGAAATAAAATGGCCAGTAAGACTTGAGTTGCTAATGCTGGGGACAGAACTAGAACTTGAGTCCTGGTTCTGTGCTGGTTAATACCACATTCTTCTATTATAAGTGTGGTGCAACCAAGCTTTTTTCTAAGACCACTTGATAAGCAAGAACCACTTGGAAGATTTTAAAAAGTCATTCCTAGATAAATAGAAAATTTTAGCATTTTCTCTTCCATATTCTTCTTTGCAAGTTAATTATATTTTTAGGTTCTAATTTACTATCTGATGTGAAAGTATACAGTCTCACATGGTGTACATCTGGCCAGTTGTAAGATAAAATGAGTTTTTATTATGTAGATTATTTATTTATTCATATATGTGTCTCTGTTTGTAAGGGATAGACAACATATGGATATAATGTTCTTAAAATTACTATTGTAGAGACCTAATGGAGATACTGAGTACTTTTATGTTACTTGAGTTCACCTCTATATTTTCTAATTTTTAACTATAAATATGCCACTGAAAGAAGTGGCATAAAAATCTAAATATTAAACCTTTAATATCTAAATATGGAAATGACAGTAATATTTTGATAAGGAGAGATCATTATTATTATTTTTTGATATTTTTTTCTTTAATTTTCATACATATCAGGTATCATCAGGTCTTGAAAGAGGAGGATTTACTTTTCAAGGTGATATACATGGAAAAGACTTTGGAAAATTCAAACTAGAAAGACAAGGTAAGCTGAACTTGAGGAATTTTTTTAAAACAAGTATCAGTTTGACATTCAAATAATTATAATGAAAAGTAATGGATAGATCTTATCTCCAAAAGGAACAGAAAAGAAATAATAAGAGTGACTAGCATATTTTCACTACAGGGAGTCCTTGACTTACAAACATGATCCTTTCCTAACAGGGTCTTTTAAGTCTTTAAGTGGAATTATTAGATATGTAGAAACTACTGCATACAGTTCTTACTTAGCCTTACTTCAGTGCAAGAAAAGCCTCAGAGTATTTTCAATGATTTAAAAGTTGTGTGTGCAGCAAGTGAAGGTGGTTCTGATGAAGAAATTGTTGTGAGTTGTTGTTATGTGCTGTTGAGTCAGACCTGACTCACAGCAACCCCTCCTTGGGTTTCCAAGGTGATATCACTAGGGAAGTAGATTGTACAACCTTCCTTCTGAGGAGTGGCTGGTGGGTTTGAACCACCAGCCTTCCGATTAGCAGTCAAGTGCCTTAGCCACTATGCTACCAGAGCTCCTGGATGTATGAATAGATATGTACAATTTAGACTGCTAACCAGAAGGCTGGTGGTTCAAGCTCACCAGCCACTCCTCAGAAGGAAGGCTGGGCAATCTACTTCCGTAGTGATACCGCCATGGAAACCCAAGGAGGGGTCACTATGAGTCAGATCTGACTCGATGGTAGTGTGTTTGGTTTGTTTTTTTTAATCCTTACTTTAAATGTATATTCTTTTTTCCAAAAACTCTAGAATTTTTCATCAGACATTTTTGTAAACTTTTCTTTGCATGTGTCCACGGCAAGACTCTTTTTAAAAGTGGAAATTATAAAATAACATGCCCATCTTATATATCTATCATAAAGGAATTTTTCCAATAAATAAGTTTATGCAATGTAGTACATTAAATAGAAAAAAATATAATGCAGTATATTTTACTAAATGTTGAGGCTATGTATTCACATGGAAAGATGTTAAGCTTATATATAATGAAAAAAAATTGCAATAGAAATACTCCATCCTTCTTTATATATTTCTACTATTTTATTTTTAACAAATAATCATGGAAAACAGTTTTTATTTTTAATCACTGGATTTGAACTTACCTTTTACACTTTCTAGATTTGTAATCTTAGATAAATTACAATATAGAAATCAGTTCCCTGAATTGTTATGAAGATTAAGTAAGAGAATATAAGCAATTGATTTGTGCATGATACAGTTCATGTCACACAAAAGTGTTTATTATAGTTGTTGCTACCAATACACATTAAGAAAATGCATTTTTGTAATGAGTTTAGTACCACATTTCTTCTGAATAATACAAACTACTGTATAATTTCCTTGTAGAATACTGTTAACATTTAATTTTATAAACAAGAACATTACTACTGAGGGTTTGATACCAATGTGAGCTTTCAGAGGAAAATAACGTAATGTTTTCTAGTTACTACCACTGAGGAACTTATTTCATAAGATTTTTGTCAAGGCACTGAAGTATTTGAAAGGAAATGTACGTCATTTTATATTATAACATATTTTAAAAAAATCTTAATCAAAAAGAAATACTAGAATTCCATCATTCAAAATTTAGTATTTTTAAGTAAGAGAGCTATATATTATTATATCATCCATGGCTGGGATAATATTTTAAATCAGGCTGGTTATATTGTTTTGAAGTAATAAAGTAGAATTAATGCACTAGATCAACACTAATGATGGGTTAAGTTTTCTCTTGCTGTAAGCCAAACCCTGTAGTTATTTGTCCTCCTTTCTCCTCATAGCACATGCTCTAGTAATTTTGTTTAAGGATACCCCAGTGAGCTGTACAAGACACTGTATAGATGTCTAAGTTTACTCATCCAAAGAAAGTAATCTGAACTATCACTTTACTGTCATGTATTTTCTTTGTATCAGCCATGTTTTTGAATCCAACAAAATAACAGCTTTCTTTAACAAATAATCTTTGTTGTCATGTGATGATGAATTTATTGCCAGGAAAAAAAAATAAAATGCCTCAAAAATTAATTTGAATTATAAACAAGCCTTCCATTCAACTAATCAGAAAAATCTATGCATTACTCAAACAACAACCATTCATTTAAGAAATATCATTGAAACTTATTTTTATGGAGAAAAATAAACAATCTTGTAATTGTCTCCAGTTCATAGATGAGAAAAATGATTATCATTAAATGGGAAGGAAAATCATGTTAGTTTGAAATCCAATTTTAATGCAGAAACTTGTATTAGAACCCACAATAAATTGTTTTCTCTATTAAAATTGATTTATTTCCCACAAAATAGGAGAAAATATTTGCAAACTATATATCTAATAAGTCAAATGCTTTAGGCACTATGCCACCAGAGCTCCCATGAATCCAGAATAGATAAAAAGTTTTTACAGCTCAATAATAAAAAGACAAATAGTAAAAAATATAATGGGTGAAGAATTTGAATAAACATTTCTCCAAAGAAATACAATTGGCCAAAAAGGCCATGAGAAGATGATCTATCTCTTTAGTCATAACGGAAGTGCAAATCAAAACAATGTCATGTCTACTAGGATGACTGTAATCAAAAAGGCAGACAATAGCAAATATTGGTGAGGATGTGGAGAAATTTGAACCCTCATTAATTTCTTGTGAGAATATAAAATATGTAAAATAATGTAACTGCCTTGGAAAAGTTTGTTATTCTTCAAAATATTAAATACACACTTATCATAAGATCTAACAAATCACTTGTTAGGGATTTACTCAAAAGGAATTTAAAAATATGTATTCATAAAAATTGGTGCACAATTGTCTGTAGCAGCATTATTCATAATAACCCCAACGTGGAAACAACCCAAATCCCGTCAACTGATAAATGGTTAAACAATATATGGTCCATCCTTACCTGACAATAGAACAAAAATGTGGGGGGATGGATATTGATACATGCTACAGCACTGTAAATAGTATCCTTTCACAATGTCCACATACTGTCTTATTCAGAAGTAGATTGCCCACGCTTCCTTCTGAGGAGTGGCTGGTAGGTTTGAACAGCCATCCTTCTGGTTAGCAGTCAAATGCTTTAGGCACTATGCCACCAGAGCTCCCATGAAATGCCTAGGATAGCCAAATTCATACAGTTAGAAAGTCAATTAGTGGTTACTTAAGGCTGTGGAGTGGATTGAGAATGATGAAGAGTTACTGCTAATACATTCAGAGCATCTTTTGAAGGGGCACAGGATTATTCTAAAATCAGATTGTAGTGCTGATTGCACACCCTACAAATATATGAAGAGACATTTCAGTGAACACTTTTAATGGTTGAATTTTATGTACCTTAATTACTATCTCCATAATACTCTTTTAAAAATTAAATGGCCCACCTTATAAGATGTGAAAAGATACTCACCCTTATTCTAAATAAAGAAATGTAAATAAATAACTAAATACGATTATTTTTTAAAGTAATGGTAACCCTCGTACTAGTAGTAGCTGCAGCAGAAGTAATATCATGGGGTAGGAGAGTAAGGAGGGGGAGAGTGGAGGGAGGGGTGGAAGCAGGCAAAGGAAAAGGAGAAGCCAGCAGTTAGATAATACACAATTACCCAAGTGTTTGTGTAATGGTCGGAATGAAATTGGAGCACCTCTTTGGAGGGCAATTAGCTAAGATACAGCAAGAGTAAAGTGCACAAGCTCCTTTAAGCAGTGATTTCACATCTTAGAGTTAACCCTATATGTTTAGACCCTTACAAAATTATATAGAGAGCCCAAGGATTACATTCCAGCATTATAAAAAAGATTAGAAACTGAGTAAGCATCTTTCAAAAGCAGACAAGTTAAATAATTCTGGTATATATAATCAACAGAATGATACATATCTTTAAAAAGTTAAATCTGGTTCATGTGCAGATGAATGAACTTCAAAAATAATAGCTAATTTTTTAAAAAGGCAAATACATATAAATGTACATGAGATTCCTAAGTTTTAGAAAAAATAATAAAAGGGAAATTTACAATCATATACATGAATAATGCCTTTATGGAATATACATAAAATTTTGACCCTTAAAAAGGAGGACACTGGGATATAGGTCAAAGAGTAACACCTTATTTTCATTTCCTCTATATTATTTGGGATCTCTGGTAGCTTAATGTCAAATCTATTTGACTACTAACCAGAAGGCTGGCAGTTCAAACCCACTAGCCACTCCTTGGAAGGAAGATTAGGCAATCTACTTCCATATTGAGACTGCCTTGGAAAGCCAAGGAGGGGTCGCTATGAGTCAGATCTGACTCTGTGGCAGTGAGTTTGGTTGGTTTTGATTAAATTATTTATTTCATGTTATTTTATAACATTTTAATTATTATCATATATATTTATTGCATTTTAAATTATTAAAACAGTGATAAATAATTAAAATTAACCAAGTGCTCCAGACAGCATAATAATTTCAAAGTAAGTTTGTGAGTCTATAATGCACAGACTCCTTTATATTTTTCTGTCTTATATTGTAAAGTATTTGTGGCATGGAGTTATTCCAGAATTGTGTTAATTGCAATTTCGAAATCTATTGTGGTCAAAAGTGTATCATGTCCAGATAACAGAACATAATATTGGTTAAGTTAAATTTTCAAAACACCAATTTATTAGAGTGAGATGAGACTCACAAAAACCTGGAAAATGAGATATGTTATGATAGGTTAATGTAAATCAAAAGATGTTTTGTTACTATACTACAAAGCCTGTAGCATTTATCTATTTTACAATTACACATTGAGCACCTACTGTTCCATCCTAGGAAACAAGAATTCAAATGGAAAAGTAACCAAAAAGCAATTCAGCAAACAAAACTAAATCAATAAATAAATTAACCACCACCCTATAGCATACATTATCCTAAACTGTTGAAATGTTCTAATTCATTTAATTCTCACAATAAAATCATGAAGTTAGTGTTATTTGAATAGTGTACTACTGTTCTTCCTTTTGTTCAATCCCACACTGATCACTATGTGCTCCTGCTGTCACTGTTGACCCTGCCATCTACCTGCTAGTGATGAAACCACCACCAGTGGACAACTGATACTGCCACAAGGCTCCTCCCAATGTCATAGCCATTGGAATAAATTCTAAACCTTCACATGATGCTTTGCATCACTCACTTCAAATTCATTGCCATACTGGGAGCATCCAATGGGTTGGCCTTGGCTCAGATACCCATAACCTGGATGCTCTGATTTATACAGAACAAGTATCTGGCAATTTCCACTTTCATGGTGGGAGTTGAATGCATGTGAATTAAAAAAAAAAAAAAAAAAAAAACCTTAATCTGATTTATACGTGCTGATACAGAAGGATGTCAAAAAGATCTGGTTAAGTTACAAAAACTGGACATCACTTTCAAAATATGTTTATATTAAGCCTTAAGGTGGTAGACAGTATCATAATTCTGCATCTATTTGAGGACATGATGAAAATAGAAATTTAAAGTTTTCTGTGAAAATTCAAGGCA